TGATTGGTCTATCAGCCACACAAGTATCGAAGAGGTCAAAAGTATTTTAAAGTTTGCTACTCCCTCAGATCCATTGAAAGTGGTAGCTAATGGGGAAGAAAAGAAAAAAAAATCTCCACTGTTCTTCATTCTCTTCTTCGTCTAACGTTTAGGACTGAAAAATAAGTGCGACATATTCTCTTTCCAAACTTCTTTAGTTGAAAATCTCATAACTTTGCTAGTCCGTAATACTATTAGCGGTGTGATATTGATGCGTCTTTGAAAGCGTACAGTTTCATCAGATAGAGTGATTGTGTCGTTTTTCTTCATCTGGATTACTGTTTCCGTCTATGTTTCAGAATATATCTGTCAAACTAAATTCATTCAGTTGATACCGAGAAATAGAATAAGAACTCGATTATTGCTCAATCCTTTTCAATTGATTCGATTTCAACTTCACAACTTTGTAGCGGTATGCTTTTACAATAAATAGTTTGTTCTCCTTTGTCAAATATTTCTTTAAAACTCTTTTCGTTTAGATGAAAGGACTGGAAGCGGTCGGAAATACATTTCAGTATGCGGAATTAAATATTCGCCATGTTGGTAATGCTGATAGGACACTCGCTATGGTAAAACGTGCGATTCGTATGGGTTACGATGCTGTCGCCATCAACATAGACATCGGGGACATAGTTCCTGAAGAAAACATAGTTGGTGCTAGTTTCACAACTTTTTCTCAAAATTGGTCAACTCCACCTCGTTTGGGAAGAGCATATGCTGCAGAAATCCAGTACAGAAAAGATAGATAAGCCACCACCAAAGAAGAAAGCGCGAAAAATGGAAGAACGAAAAGTTTGCTTTTTTTCTATTTGTCATTATTGTGATTATACCGCAATCATTAGGGTCGAGAGCAACAGCTGCCAGAGCCATTTCTTGTTGATGAATCTTTGTTGGACCTCTCTGATTTAGAACAACGAGGAAGGAAATTCCGACAATTTAGGTAAGGTCATTATGTCACGTTTGTAAACTTCAATTAGTTGTTTCAGTCGAATCACGTTTACTTTGAATGATGCTACTGTTATTCATAACGTCTTTAACAACCCTCGATTGCGTCTTTTTGATCTGGTAGCGGTACGACCTGCAGATGTGAGCATTCTTACGACGCTCACGAGGAAAACTGATGCAGTTGATATAATCACGATGCACCCTGAAACTCACGTAGGTAGATGCAGGAATTCTCTATTTTATAGTACGCCTCATCATGAATGCATTTTTTTTAGGTTGCTTGGTTGCATAAAGCAAAATTTATGGAAATGATTCGTGTTGAAGGTGTTGGGTTCGAAATCACGTATGCGCCCGCCTTATTTCCAGCTAATAGGAGATCAGTGAGTTCATTCTACTGAAAAAAGGAAGACCTATATAATCATGTTTGAAAGGAAGCTAAATCAGAAAAATTGGAAGAAATACCAAATTTCACAAATGTGTATAATATATTATATATTTTATATATTCTATCTCATGAAACATCCCTATATTACATGAATGATCTTAGTGATGTATTGATAAACTATTGAAAAACTAAAAACTTGACATCTTTGAGTTAAATGCTCGGAGCTTCAAAATTTTGTTCCTAATTTACCTCCACTTTTACTTACTTTGAGATTGCTGTTTACCTAGTGAGCTAATCCTGAGATCACAATTTTTATGTTGAATTTACTGTACTAAGTTTCAGTGTCTGTACACTGGGCGATTCCTTCTGCGTGGTCTTCGTAGCCGTGGTGTTGTAATCACAAGCGGTGCATCTTCCATGTGTGAATTGCGGGCACCCGTAGATGTAATGAATATGGCAACGCTATGGGGAGTTTCGGGTATGGATGCTAGGCTGATGATTAGTGGTGAGGAATTTACATTTTGCAGATTTTATATCATTTTTCCACAGAAACTCTTGGCTTCATAGTCCGGGTGGCATGTTTTACAATTTCGTTTTGTTCTCATATTCAAGAATTCTCGAGTTTGATTCAATTCATTGTAAATGCATTCCTATGCATCGCTTACTGTGGGGCGAGTGTATCGACGCAGCTCCAAGACGACCTTATATAAGTCAGCTTTTGCTAATCAAAGCTTTCCGACTTTATATCGTTAGGACCTATTCGCGAGTGACAGATTTTTGGAGCGTGGGAGCCTTGAGCAGATTTTTTTTGACCAGTGGTACACTATAACGTATTGCCGGTTTAGGTAATGCTAGGCAAATCTTGTTACGAGCTGAAGCACGCCGAACTGTAGGTGGAGCATTGCATGTGGCACCTCTCGAAGTCTGGAAGAACGAAGATGGTGGTAATAATATTGATGCAGTCGTCCCTTCTTGCCGAGTTTCCAGCTCTTGCGCCTTGCAACGGCTTCTAAATATTAAGGAGTTCCGAGCAAAGGTATTTCAATATTTTTCCTACATTAAGGACGTCTTTGAGCACCTCGTAAATTCTTTTTTTTACCGGACAGTGAGCGAAAATGGCAATGTATTAAAAGGCACACAAGAGCAGCTTGATTTTGCTTTTGATCTGCTTATTATATTTATGAAGGTGTAAATAAGGTTTGTCCTCCTGAAGAAGTTCTATGCTATCAGACTATGCTTCGACTTATCGATGATCGCTCTGAAGTAGCTCGATCGATCGTTGATAGGTCAGTTAGGTGGGATTCAGCACTTCCTTTAGGGAAGTTGGCATACATGGCAGGCAATTTTGCAAGCAGGCTCATAGTTGCATGTGACCATTATTATTCAAATTATTAAGTCAACCTAGCCTCGCTTCTTCATTTACTGCTTATTGCGATATCTGTTTAGGTGGAGGTTATACCAAATGAAGAAAATACGACGAGTTCTGCAAATCCCACTTCTTGATAACAATGAGTTTATTCTCATAAATTATTGTCAGTGTTGTTGATTTTTACCGTTTTGTTTTGTTTTTGTTATTGAGTAAATATTCCTATCTACTGCTTAGAAATTTGTGCACCTATGTATCCTAACTTCTGCGTTTTTGTGTAACTTTTACGTTTACTCTCTAGATCTCATAGCTTCAAAAATACTGTAGGTCTTGTAGTATGAAATGGCTGCAAAATCTCAGATTGTGGTCCTTATGGAAAATCCGAAAGATGTTTCGCTCAAAAAATCAGACTATCGCACCAATTCAGTGGGGAGAACCGCTCCTCAAAACGATACCTGATAGAAGTCTAGGTGGAATACTGAGTGGTAATCAAATTCAGAGATTTGAATCTATTGTTCGCGAAGTTAAGGTCAGTGTCATCTCTTGCATGCATGCTTCTTGCCTTGACAACTTATTTTTAGACAATCTCTATGTTGACTAAGCACTTTCCTTCTGAAATCACGGACGAGGATTGGCAAATCCTGCTTGAGTGCCAAACTAGGAAACAAAGATTTGACCACGTAAAATTTCTTCGAAGTCGCGAGCTGGAGAAGTTGAAGGATTTGGAGAAAAAACGGTTAAAAAAAAGTTCCCCTCCGAAAGCAAATGGAAAGCCTGTCGATGACTGCGCTCTTCCTCTGTACTATCCTGCTGTAAAACTTGGTAAGTATGAAGGGAGATAAAGACATAAGTAAGAGTTTGTTGCTTTTCGTCTCTGAAAATTTCAGTTGTTCCAGTTAAAGACCAACGTCGTCAACAGTGGCAGAGGGTGGCTTCTGCTCATTTATGCAGCGCTCCCCGCATCGTGATAGACTGTCGCTTTCTGCCCTTGCTTTCACCTCGAGGCGCAGAACTGACAGCTTTGCAACTCAACTACCTCATCAGTGAAAATCGTGATAGCAGGCAAGTAAATGAGGTTGGGATTTACTATCAAAACTCTAACAAACCTCTCCATTTTAAGGACACCTTGGCGACTGTACTTCGCAAATTTTGATCCTTCAGCGGAGCGATTTCGACGCCTCAAGCAGAAGTGAGAATATGGAGATGTTTACGCGATCAAATTATAGATTGATCTGTGCATTCATATTTTGCTAACATATGAAAATTCACTATTATAGAATTAGAAAAACATTTGAATGAACGAGAAACTTTGAAATCTGGGTATTACAAAAAAAA